TGCAAAGGCACCAGGGTGATTGCATCCAAAGGAAAGGAAATCACAAATTGGATGTTGCATCAGATTTTTCCTTACTGCAGCTGTGGGATAGTAGCTGGTATGGTGGGTAGCCTACTTGGGCTGGGAGGCAGTTTCATCTTGGGACCCCTTTTTCTTGAATTGGGAATTCCTCCTTAGGTTTAGTTCAACGCAAGACAAAATTCACTCTATTGTTTTTGTCAGTCAGAAAATCTTGTCAAGAAATCCTTGGCAAGGAAAAATCACTGAAGAGGTTTGGATTCAAAATTCCTTGATCATTGGTTTTGATCCCAAGTCTTCCACTGCCATTTCCAAGTGTTAGTAATCACCTTTCTTATTAATCTTTCATCTTGGGACCCCTTTTTCTTGAATTGGGAATTCCTCCTTAGGTTTAGTTCAACGCAAGACAAAATTCACTCTATTGTTTTTGTCAGTCAGAAAATCTTGTCAAGAAATCCTTGGCAAGGAAAAATCACTGAAGAGGTTTGGATTCAAAATTCCTTGATCATTGGTTTTGATCCCAAGTCTTCCACTGCCATTTCCAAGTGTTAGTAATCACCTTTCTTATTAATCTTTTCTTTTAACTTGTTAACTTAATCTTAATGTATTCAGTTTAGACAGAATTAAAGAACTATATGCCATCCTATTGGTCATGCAGGTATGATAATGGGTGCTTCAGTTTCAACTGTATACTTCAATTTGAGACTTAGGCACCCAACACTGGACATGCCCCTCATAGATTATGATATGGCATTTCTCTTTCAGCCAATGCTCATGCTGGGCATCAGCATAGGAGTTGCCTTCAACGTCATGTTTGCCGACTGGATGGTCACAGTTCTACTTATTATTCTCTTCTTAGGGAATAACATTTTGCCCACAATTTAATTGTTATTTGTTACTTATTAGTGGTTACTTTAGTGATTTCATTACGCAAAATCCATTTAATGTTGTATTTTCTGAAGCCCAGGCCCTTTTCTAAACCCTAAACATAACACGCAACCTCTCTTCTTCTTCAATCTCATCGTCGTCTCTCTCTCTCGCCTCATAGCACCATCGTCATCTCATCCCAGAACTTGGAGTTCCAAAATGGCCTTTTCTTTCTTCTAGGCGCCAGCGCCCTCCTAGACCGCCTAGACCGCCTAGAGACCGACTAGCCCCCGCCTAGCCTGCCTAGCCCCCGCCTAGGTCATGTATTCAGATATGAGTGACAGTGTGTTCAAGGATTTAACTTTTAAAGAAGATTTCCGAGAATTGGAAACGAAAGAGATGATGCTTACATTGTTCCTACAACGTTTTGGTTTATTAGCCCCATGATTTTAACTGTATCTGAACTTTGTGCAGACATATCCTCAAACTGGCTCCACCAGTGAGTTTGATCTCTCTTAAACACCGTAGTTAATGCATCTCCAGCAA